CGGGCCGGGCGGTGGGACAGGCCCCTGCCCTCCCTCCATTTGAGGGCGGCCGGCGTGAGGCGCTCGCAGCCGGGGATGTAGCTCAGTGGTAGAGCGCGCGCTTCGCATGTGTGAGGTCCCGGGTTCAATCCCCGGCATCTCCAGGCGCTTCTTTTTTATTTTTTCATTTCCTTTTTTTTTTTCCCGTCTCTCCGCACGGCCGCCGGTTCCGCGGGGCCAGGCCGCCACCGCCCCGCCCGCACTCCCCTCCCGCCCGAGAGCCCCGCGGAAAATGGAAGCGCAGCGGCCACAAAAAGCGGCGGCACCTCCGGCGGCAAAAGGGAGCTGCATTGGCCGGGAATCGAACCCGGGCCTCCCGCGTGGCAGGCGAGAATTCTACCACTGAACCACCAATGCTCGCTGGGCGCTCTCCCCCCGCCCCCGGCTGAAGCAGCACACGCGGTGTCACCGATGCTCACCCGCCCCATTCTGTGTCCCTGCCCCACGGCTCACGCAGCGCTTTCAGCCCTCATTCCATGGGGAAAAAGTGGTATAAAAGTCAGCGCTAACAGTTGTCTATTTTTCCTCTAAAGGATTAAAAAAAAACCTGGGAAAGTGTATCATGCACCCATCATACACCCCACAGAGTCTGTCCTGACTTGGTTTTGGTCTTAATCATCTCTCACAGATGCCACTAATCATTATTTCAGTAACCATTTTTAAAACTTTTTGTTTTTCTCACCATATTCTTTGAAAACTTTTTTCATTTCTAAGCATTCTGTTTGTATCAGGGATAAACTAATAGTATTCATTGAATAAGCAAGGAGTGATTTAATGGAAGAACTTCAGGAGGTTACAGGTAAAAGTTTCCAAGATTCTTTACACCTACTACTATGGTTGGAGTCAATCTTAAAGGTGTTCTCTAACCTAAATGGTTCTATGATCATTCTTAACATTTAAAAGCTTTCAGACAAAATTACAAATGTGTATTTTTATTCCTTTTCCATGCTGGAAGGACTTTACCAGGGGAGGCCAATGGTTAAGCACTCAGAGACTCAGCTGATCCACAAAGGAATCATGAGATAGTGCTCAACACGGTGTCAGTGCCGTGCCAGGTGATGCCGTTTCAGCACGCCGTGCTGCGTGTGCTGATGTCAATAGTGAGCCCGTGCTTCTGCTGTGATGTGGCCATGCCGTGTCCCAAAATAAATGATGCACGCTCCTGACACTCAGTTTGCCTTGGACACGCTCCCACAAACAGCCACATGTGAGCCAGAGTCCAAGGAAAAGCTGCAATGAGTGCTTCATGTCTAGGGAACATCAAGGTGTGTGTACAGAACACGGGAACATCTGCAGAACACCGCCAGGGCAGGAGTTACAGCTACAGCCACCCACCTCTGCACAGGGAGGAAGCAGGGGTCTTCTGCTTCAACCACCAGCGCCCTCCCTGCTGCTGCAGGACATGTTCCATGTCCCGTGTTTGGGTGTGCATGAACACCGCAATGTAACAACCCAGCACACCTCCCGCTCCTTCCCAGCTTCTGCTGGCAGAAGGCAGCATAATTAAAACTGTAAGTAATGACTATTATTTAGGCTGCTGCTTACGGTTGGATTAGTCAGCCTAGGAAAACAGTTTTCTCAGACAAGCTCAGGACCAAAAACAGCCCATGCACTTAGGCAAAAAATATTCATATTGAGAAGCCCCTAATTCCCCATTTTATTGTGTCTGGAAGTCAGCCATGAGCAGATTTCCCCCTACTTTTGTTCTCCCACTTCCTCTCGTTCCTGGTGAGCTGAGGCTCTGCCAGGCAGGGACATCTGGCAACATCCACATGGGACACAGCAGCGTGTCCTCAGAGAGGATCATGGAATCAAAGAACCACGGGCTGGATGAGGTCGGAAAAGTGCTCTGAGATCACTGGGTCCAATGGGTGACTCAGCACTGGCAAGGCCAGCTCTGAACCCTGTCCCCAAGTGCCCCTCTGCTCTCTGGGGCAGGCAGAGCAGAACACGCTGCTTGCGCCACTCCTTGGAGAATTATTGCACAGAGTCACTGCAGTGACAGACTTTGCACTACTCCTTCCCAGAGCAGAGATGGAACTGTCCTTGCACACATGGTGAATAACTCAGAGAACATGTCTCATGTCCATTACACTGTTCTACATCTGCTCAGAACATCTGGGAATGTTGGCTGATGTCCAGCAGGGAACTCGGTCAACCAGAGTTTGGCAAGTCCCAGGGGCCCAAATGTGACTCCAGAACGTGCTCTGGGAACCTGCTCCCAAGCTGTGTGACCCAGGCTCACACTTCAGAACTGACTGTGAGTAGGAGGGTGCTGAACAGGGCAGAAATCAAGAGCTGCAAGAGTAGAAATGGTGGTCCAGGGCCTCAGAACTGGTGAAAATCTCACAGGATGGCTTCAGCTGAGTAGGAATCAGAATCCTACTCCAACAAAAGGAGTTCTAAGGGGTTCCTTGTGTTAGTCATCACAACGGCTGGGAGAACATTCCCACCCAAGCTCCAGTGTAGATGGATCTGTTCTGTGCCCCCGATGGACGGCACTGTGGCAGCGAGGCCAGAGGAGTTACAAAGTTGGTAAGGGGCAGCAAGAGCAGAGGAGTTACAAAGTTGGTAAGGGCCCTGGAGCACCTCCCCTGTGAGCCTGAGAAAGTGGGGCTGCTCATCCTGGAAGGGAGAAGGCTCAGGGGGACCTGCCAGCCCCCTCCAGTATCTGAAGGGGTGTACAAAGAAGCCAGAGAGGGACTCTTCACCAGGAGCTGTAGCGAGAGGGCAAGAGGGAATGGTTTCACACTGACAGAGGGGAAATTTAGGTTGGCTGTGTGGTAGAAATCCTTCCCTGTGAGGATGGTGAGGCCCTGGCCCAGGTTTCCAGAGCAGCTGTGGCTGCCCATGGATCCCTGGCAGTGTCCCAGGCCAGGCTGGGATGGGGCTTGGAGCAGCCTGGGACAGTGGGAGGTGTCCCTGCTTCTGGCTGAGGCTTGACAGAGCAGAGCCCAGCAGCTTCAGGTGTTTCTGCTGACTCTGCTGTGTCCCTCTGAGGAGGATGCTGCAGCTCAGGGCCACCCGCAGCCCCTCACCCCAAGTTCAGTTGGTGCACTGTGATTGGAACAAGGTCAGGTTGATAGGCAGTGGTAAATCAGCTCAAATCAAGCTTAAAAGTGCAGGTGTGGCTTACCTGGGGTGTGGCCAGTGGGTATCATTCCTTCCCTCCTGCCTGCTGGCATGGACACGTGCTCCCATGCCACATGGAGGGACTGTGGCTGTATGAATGGGTGTTGGATCGATCCTTGTCCTGGCACATGAAAATGGGGAAGTGATGGCACAGCTGCACCTGTACTGCTGCCTCTGATTCACCCCTTCCCATGGAGCTGTGTTAAACCATGTACAACCTAAAGGAGCAGCTGAGGGAGCTGGGAAGAGCCTCAGGCTGGAGCAAAGGAGGATCCCGAGGGATCTTTTCCCTCTCTGGAATTCCCTGGCAGGAGGGGACAGGCGGGGGGTCGGGCTCTGCTGGCAGGGAACAGGGACAGGAGGAGAGGGAACGGCCTCAGGCTGGGCCAGGGCAGCTCAGGGGGGACAGCAGCAGGAATTTCCCCATGGAAAGGGCGCTCAGGCCTTGGAAGTGCCCAGGGAGGTTTGCAGTGCCCATCCCTGGAGGTGTCCAGGGAATTCCTGGAGGTGGCACTCAGGGCTGGGGACACGGTGGGATCGGGCACAGCTTGGACTTGATGGTCTTGGGGGCTTTTTCCAACCTCAGTGATCCTGTGATTCTGTAAATGGAGATGTTAGAAATAAAGCCTAATGAGTAAATCAGAGCACCATGAAAGAGTAAACCCCTGTGTAAGAACCAGCTGGCGTTTCACTAACAAGTACACAACACTTTGTATCACAGGCAAGTCCAGTCATGACTCCCAAAGCACTGAAGGTAACAAGAGGCCCTTCAAAATGGCTTCTCAAAGCCTCTCCAGAAAGGCTTCCCAAGTGCATTCCTGTCTCTTGTTCCAGAGTGCAGAGAAATTGCTCCATCCCCGGTGAGTTCTCCGCTGAGTGGAGCACACGCACATCAACTCCATTTTAACAGGTCACGGAATAAGCCGGGCATTTAAAAATATCCACCTACCCAAAAGGACAAATGAATCCGTATTGTGGAGCCTTCAGCAAAGATGGTTGGAACAAAACAAACAAAACAATCGTGGTAATCTTTTAGGGAAGACTTATAATGTAGAACAACTTGTCAGTGTGGGTTAAAGTTTTAAGGCCTAGCAATTTTGACAGCGTCCCTTTGAGCACAGCGAGCGCGCGGGGACGAGCAGGACAGCAAAAGGTCACTTGGTCACACATATCCACTGCCTCTCTGAAGTTTAGCTCAAGACCCACTAGGCACGTCCCAATTAATTATTTAAATCTGCAGGGAGGAATATTTCAGTAGATGAAAAGGCATAATCTGAAATTCCAGGGAAGGTACAGGATGGCTGGCGTGGCCAAAATGGTGCTGAGGGAAGATGTGGTGAGATATCCCCACCACGGCCTTCGGACACAGAGAGGAGCCACTCACATCCAGAAATGCTCATTGTTCCAGATACCAGGCTCTCAGGGATTTTCCAATATCCTTTCTTTTTCAATGGAATAGTTCTGGATCACAAAAGGTCACTGAAACCAAATTGACAATGATATATGTGGTTATTTAAAGTAACTTTTCCCTGCACAATTATTGATGATGTTGCTGGCAATCTGTAAGTTCCTTATAAATGCATGGACACCCTGAAACTGTTCATCCCAAATCCTGTCTAAAGTGTCCCAAAAGAAAGCTATCAGCAGGCATTGCCAGGGAAATGGGCATCAAAAGCAACCAGGAGACTCAAATCCTGGATTTACTCACTAAATTTACTCACTAAAGGCTGGGAATTTTAAAGTCATTGTATATGTCTCTGAACAGGTTTCCTCAGCTTTTCCTAATCAATTCAATGGAGGAAATACCTGGATAAACAGAAGACATGTACAGTCACCAGGACTGGTATTCATCTGTCACTGCCTGAGGGAAAAAAATAATACAGCCCAAATGCTGAAGAGCCTTTTGCCTTGCTTTTGCTGAATACAGCCTCTCACTCCAGCACATACAGAGAAAATAAATGTGACAGTTTCTTCATATTTCCTGCCACAACAAAGCTCCTTAAATGTTTAATGAGAAAATAACCACTCTTGACTAGTCCAAGCAGTCTCGCTTTCTAAAAGATACTGTCCTTCTTCTTTTCTTTACCAATGGAATGTTGTCCATCAGACCTAGCTTGGCCGTTTGCCCCAGAAAAACACAGATGCTCCATGTCCCTTCCTTCCACTCCCTCCTGTGCTGCCATTGCAGGGAGAGGCCAATTAATTATGGGGTTTTTTTCTGCTACAAATAACGTGACCCGTGACCTCACTCTTTTAAAACTGCAATTTTTGCACTTGTTTCTGTGTGGGATCTTGATGGGACAGCAAACAATCAGACCTAATTGTGATGATAACACATCATAATAGAAAAATGAGCCACCTTCTGTCCCTCAGATACACAAACACGGATGGATTTATCTGCTGCAGTGCAGGGGAAATTCCTGAACACCAGCAACACGTCCTGGTCCAGTGGTAAACTGAGCATGGGTGGGAAGCCACAGGGTTGTACTTGGAGTGATACCTGACACCCACAGCCGAGATGGGAACGATTTAAATGCCTAATCACAGCCACAACTGAGTACCTGGATTTTCAAACCAGAGGACCTACCATGGATCCTGTTGGAAAAATCCCAGCAGAGAAATTCTGTATCTGTTCTATCCCTTTGTCCCAGCTCTCCTGCAATCACCACTCTTGCTCCTCTCAAAGACATTTTCCTGAAGACAGATTAGGAGAAAACATATTTGAGAATGTATGAACAGATTTTCTTCTTATGATACATAACTTTGGCATGCAGTCAGGAAACGATGATGATCTTTTTCCCCATCTTCCCCTGCTAATGAAGAGAAACTGCCTCTGGGGTTAAGGACAAAAGGTGAACTCTCCGTGCACGCAATTTACACCTTTACACCTGCTGAGCACATGATTTCAGGCATCTGAAATTCCTGTCTTGGCAGCTGTCCCAGGGACCAAGCCACATGCACAGAGACTTTTGGAGGTAATATTTTCATCGAGGCATTAAATAAATAACAGACTTGAGAGGGATGAATTTTGCAATATTTTCAGGCATCTCATTTTTTTTACTTAACCTTGTAAAACTCTTTCACTCTTCAAACTTACAAAGTGCAGTCTTAAACAATCAGTAACTAAGATAAAAAGTAGTTGAACAGAAGCCTAAAGTAGGGAAGAGAACAGCCCATCCCTGTGTATTGGTAACTGCACCGTGCAAATGGGGAGAACCTGTACCTGGAAAGTGACATTGCTTTGGAAATGTGATCCTTATGAAGTTTTCACTTTCCTTTTATGAAGAGACTAGTACAACACTCATTTTCTACCCCCTTCAAGATTTTGCAGGCTGGAAAAAGCTGATGAGACACAGCAGTGCTGGGGTGGAAAAACTGTTCACTTAGAAACCGGCTATAGATACATTTTGCACTCATAAACAGCCCTGTACCGATCAAAATTTGTCATATATTAATACTGACAGTGCAGCTACATCTGGGTAGACAACTGCTTTGAGGGGTGGGAGGACAGAGGATTCTCCTAGCTCTGTAACAAATATTTGTTAGAGATGGATGAAACAACATATAGTGCCATGTTAGAACACGTATACGGGTAGGCATTCACATCCAGAACTTGCATATGTTGGATCACGTTGAAATTACTTGCCACAAACTGCATTTAAATCCCTTTTATTTTTCATATCCCAATTACTCTTCTTCTGTTCTCATGTGTTCCAAAAAACACATGCCCTAAAACCGTATCCTTAGAAAACAAGGAATCATTTTCCAGTATTTTTCCTTCTATTTTCAATTCTTGCTCTTCAGCTGACAGTTTCCAAGCTGGAGTATCTACTAATTCCAGCTGCCGCTCAAGATTTTAGCCCCTTTTAATAGTACTAATGTTCCAGATAAACACTGCTCCCATCACCAGTGACTGAATATCACTGACTTAGCAGAACCCATGAAATCCAATCCTTGCAGTTGTTTCCTGACTAGAAATGACACCCAGACAGCTGAAGACCACGATCAGCGGTGGAGCCGGGCCTCACGCGTGGGCCGGAGGCCTCCGGTACCGCCTCCGGTACCGCCAGCGGCGCAGCCCCAGGGAGGGGCCGCCATGGGCGGCGACCCCCGTCACGCAAGGCCGGGGATGCGGAGGCCGCGCTGGGCCCGTCCCCGCGGGCCCAGGCCGCATCGGCNGGGCTGTCCCGGTACCCCCGGGCTGTGCCGGGACCCCCGGGCTGTGCCGGTACCCCCGGGCTGTCCCTCTGTCCCTCTGTCCCTCTGTCCCTCTGTCCCTCTGTCCCCTCTGCTCCCCCCGCTGCCGTTCAGCGCTCCCGCGCAGCCGAGGTTTGGGCAGTGCTTTGTGTTTTGATTTCAGGGGGATTTTATTCAGGTGTTTCGGGGTTGGTTTGGGCTTAGTTTGTTTTTTCCCACCCAGCAGGCACCCCCCGATGTTCCACTGCCAGGCTGCTTCAGGGAATCTCCCTGCTGGAAGTGTTAGACCGGCCCCAGCCCCGGCTCTGGGGGCTCAGCCTGGAGCAAAGGGGGATCAGGGGGCCCTTGTGGCTCTGCACAAGTCCCTGCCAGGAGGGGACAGCCGGGGGGTCGGGCTCTGCTGGCAGGGAACAGGGACAGGAGCAGAGGGAACGGCCTCAGGCTGGGCCAGAGCAAGTTCCCTTTGGATATTGTGGAAAATTTCTTCCCTGGAAGCGTTGTCCAGCCCCAGCACGGCTGTTCAGGCAGCGGTGGAGTGGCCATCCTTGACTGGATTAAAATCTGTGTGGATGTGGCACTTGGGGACACGGGTCAGTGGTGACCTTAGCAGTGCTGGGGGAATGGTTGGACTCGATGGTCTCAGAGGGTTTTCCAACCCAAGCAATTCTGTGATTCCATGATTTTAGGATCAAACAGGTCCGGTCCCGCCCAGGGTGCAGCTTCCCACCTCTGTGACAAACCCTCGCTGGGGTTTGATGTCAGACACGCGTCCTCTGGATGCAATTGATCCCGGCAAACAGACTATTTTAAGTGTCTGGTGAAGTTTTCTTACATAAAACACATCTCCAGACTCACCCCCACGCACACACGCTCAAACACAGGCGTCGCTTGGGTTTTTAACTTGGCAGCGTTTTCCTAAAAGGCTTGGAAATGCCAAAAGTAGTAACTACACTGCAGAGCCTGCCACAGCTTTTCATCTGCTACTCAGTTCTGAATTCCTACTCCGTGACAAGGATGCCAGCCAGGCTGCAAGAGTGGAAAAACAGCCCCAAGAGTGGCCCAGGGATGGCACAGAGCCCTTTGCTGCAGACGGGGCTGGGGAAGGATGAGGAGGAGGTGGCCCAGCTCTGCAGGGACAGGCTGGCAGAGCTGCAGCGTCCCCACTCCTGCAGCACACTGAAGGGACGTCCCTGCATTGTCCCCCTCCAGAACTCTCGTGCAGGGCCACGGAGCTGCCCTCGCTGGAGAAGCCCACGAGGCACAGGGAGCACCACGAGGGTGTCCCAGGACCAGCTCTGGCCACGGTGCTGCGGGAGGTGGCCAGGAGGTGGCCAGGACCTGCTGCTTTGGGAATTGTCTCAGGGATTGTCTCAGCCCCAGGCTGTTCTGCCAGCTCTAGAAACCCCCAAAACACAACACTTGGCTGATGTATTTGTGCCACAAACAGTCAAAAATAGCATAATTGCACATTGTTTTCCTTGTATTTTGGGAATTACCGACACAAGACACAGAAATATGGTTTAATTAACTGCTTTCGTTAAGAGAAATGTATTTTGTTGTTTTAAGTGAAATCCTTTCTTGGTTTGGGAAGGATTTGCTCAACATATCTGGGATCCTTCTCCCTCAGCAACACTTTCCCTGGAAGACACTGCCAAGCAGGAAAACAAGTACCACAGACACTGGGCAAGGGGTGGCTTTCCAGTCACTGGTCACACAGGGAGGTGTTGCTGGCCCATCTCCACATGGACAAGGCTGTCTGAGCTCCCTGCACACACAGAGGGGTCAGTGATGAGCTCCAGAAGTGTCCCTGGCTCTGTCCAGAGCTCCCTGCACACACAGAGGGGTCAATGCTGAGCTCCAGAATGTCCCTGGCTCTGTCCAGAGCTCCCTGCACACACAGAGGGGTCAGTGATGAGCTCCAGAATGTCCCTGGCTCGGGGTCAATGCTGAGCTCCAGAATGTCCCTGGCTCTGTTTGGAGCAGAAGCCAGGGGCGAGGCTGGACACAAAGGACAGTGTTTCTGCTCCAAGGTGTTTCTCATTACATTTCTCATTACAGGCTCCTCGTCACAGCAGCGTGAGGTCCCTGGGGGCTGGGATCACATCCTCAGTGCCAAAGCCGTCTGTGCAGAGAGGGGGTTCCTGGGGACACCAGGGCAGCGTTTTCACCCCGTAAAGCCTCAGAGATGTGAGACAATGCCCGAGGGATGTGAGACAATGCCCCAGGGATGTCTGCTCCCACCCAGCCACGGCCAGGCTGCTCCTGCGAGCCCGGCCCCAAACCGTGTGTGCATCATTTCAAAGCATCTTCTGTGGGACAGGGTGTGGCCTGGTGAGCACAGCCCCACGGAGGATGGCCCTGGCCCCTGGCTCAGGGACTGTCACATCCAAAGGCTCTGTGGCTCGCAGCAGTGCCCGGGTGGCCGCAGCCAGCTGGGAATGGTGCCCACCATCACCAGTGTGAGCCCTGCCCGCCCTGCTTGGGGCTGGAGTCCTTCCCTTCACTCACAGCTGAACAAAATCTCCTTGCAGCGAGGCTGAGAGCCTCCAGGCCTCCCGAGGCAGAGCTATTTTGAGTTTTCCACAGCACGTCTGTTGTGCTCATGCCTGGTGAGTGGGAGACCCGCGCACACAGATCTCCGGAGTGTGCCAGCCCAGCCCCCCGGTGCCAGCCTCCTCCTCCTCCTCCTCCTCCTGCAGCAGAGCCTGGGCTGGGGCTGTGACACAGGCACAGGCTGTCACGGATGTCCCGGCTGTCCCGGCTGTCCTGGGCTGTCCCGGCTGTCCTGGCTGTCCCGGCTGTCCTGGCTGTCCCGGCTGTCCTGGGCTGTCCTGCAGCGCTGGGGGCTGCCCTGGGCACCCTGTGCCTGTCACAAGCTGTGTCCCCCTCACCAGGACATGTCCCAGGCCAGGGGCTGCTCCCAGGGATGGAGGGTCTCCATCCCTCTGTTCCCTCACACAGCCCCAGGAAGAGCCTGCTTGGAAAAATGCCAGATTAATTTCTAGAGGGGACCCAGCTGTGTTTTGAATTCATGCTCTGAACTCAGACCCTGGAAGAGTCCCAGGCCAGGCTGGATGGGGCTTGCAGCAGCCTGGGACAGTGGAAGGTGTCCCTGATGTGGCAGAGATGGAACACAATGAGCTTTAAGGTCCCTTCCAGCCCAAACTGTCCTGTGATTCTGTCATCCTGAGCCCAAGTTACAAAGCACAGTCTCCTTTGGGCAGGAGGCTGCTGGAACTTTCCTTCCCTGCTGGAGGTCCCTCAGATAATGGGCAGAGCACAGGAGCCACAAGCTGAAGCTGTGAGAGCGCCCAGGTTCCTCCCCCCGGAGCAGGGAGCTGCTGCCTCCTGAGGATGGGCTTTAGTGGGGGGCTCACCTCTGGACCCCACGGTCTGAGAGGGCTTTTCCAACCTCAGCCATCCTGTGATTCTCTGACAGGCAGGGAGCTCAGCATGCTGTGTTTGTCCTGCCACTCGTGTGACAATGTCACCTCCTGCCACAGGGCTCACACCGAGCTGCAAGCCTCAGAAAAGAGAGGGACAACGAGGAGAAAACAGCTCCTGAGAGGAGTTTGCAGAACTCTCCATGTCTGTGATGGCTGCTGTCATTAGGGGGAAATGGCAGGGAGAACAAACCCATTAATGCAGCTGTTAATTGAAAACAGGACTGTGTGGAGAATGGGGTTTGTAATTATGAGAATAGTTATTAAAATACCATTTTTGCTTTGAAAAATGCCTGACTTCACTACAGAGTATGGAGGAGTTATGCTTTAAAAAGTTCATTCTTTCCAGTGCTTCAGAAAGAGAAGCCTAAACTGAAAATGATTTACCAAATTTGTTAGGACAGATGTTTTAATTATCAATTTTAAAGCACTGCTGTAGAGTGTTGGCTGAGCCTCAGTTTTACCTCCAGCCTGGAACGTGCCTCCCTCCCACGTGGGTCCTGTTCCTCCCCAAGCTCTGGAGCTGAGTGCTGGGCACGGCCGTGCCGGTGGCTCAGGAGCTCTCAGATCCCAATTTCCATTGCCATTTTGGGCTTCTGGGACAGCTTTTCCCTTGGTGTCCCCATCCTGGTGTGGGTTTGGGGTGGTGCTGGGCCCTGGCAGTGCCATGGGCTCCTGCTCCAGCTCTGGGTGCTGGGGCAAGGGATTCCCACAGGGAGAAGGGATTCCTACAGGGAGAAGGGATTCCTACAGGGGGAAGGGATTCTTACAGGGGGAAGGGATTCCTACAGGGATAAGGGATTCCTACAGGGAGAAGGGATTCCTACAGGGAGAAGGGATTCCTACAGGGATAAGGGATTCCTACAGGGAGAAGGGATTCCTACAGGGAGAAGGGATTCCTACAAGGAGAAGGGATTCCTACAGGGGGAAGGGATTTCCACAGGGATAAGGGATTCCTACAGGGAGAAGGGATTCCTACAGGGAGAAGGGATTCCTACAGGGAGAAGGGATTCCTACAGGGGGAAGTGCCTACTCCAGGGAGCAGGGTGTGAGTGTGTGACTGTACTCAGCCGTGTGCTGCACACACTGGCTGTGCCTGGAGCTGTTCCCAGGGAATTCTGTCCCTGTGCTCAGGTCAGGCCCCACCTGCAGAGCTGCCCCAGCCCTGGGACCAACAGCAGAGGGATGTGGAACTGCTGGAGAGAGACCAGAGGAGACCCTGGATCTGCTCCAGGGCTGGAGCCCCTCTGCTCTGGAGCCAGGCTGGGAGAGAGCTGGGGGTGCTCACCTGGAGAAGGGAGGGCTCCAGGGAGAGCTCAGAGCCCCTTGCAGGGCCTGAAGGGGCTCCAGGAGAGCTGGAGAGGGACTGGGGACAAGGGATGGAGGGACAGGAGCCAGGGAATGGCTCCCAGTGCCAGAGGGCAGGGATGGATGGGATGGGATGGGATGGGATGGGATGGGATGGGATGGGATGGGATGGGATGCGATGGGATGGGATGCGATGGGATGGGATGGGATGGACTCTAAGG